CAATGTTTTAATACCAAAATGAAGCTAGCGCAACAAATTTTAGTGTCACAGTTCTTATATTTGCTGCATACAGAGAGATTCTCAGTTATTGGTTATAACCTATTTCGTGAGAAACAAATTTGAGATTTGGATGTTTCAAGAGCAACAAATGAGCAACAAATTAGAAAAAAAGTTAACACAGAACAACACATTTTTTCTTTGGCAACTTTTCAGCAACAAATGAGCAACATATAAAAATATTGGAGGTGGTACTGCTGATTTTGTTCCGCTAACTTATAAGAATTACACATTTGTAGAATCCTAACGATTCCGAAACAGGCAATTCGCGAACTGTTGGCATGAGTCGCGCGGAGAAAGTCGCGAAAAGGAAGGTTGAGTATGGCGCGAAAGTTCGAAAGTCAAACACGGGATCCCTCTTAGGGCGAATTCATACCTTGACAGAAAAGCCGAAGACAGGAGGGCAGAAGCCAATCGAAACTCGCGCTGATGATCAGATAAGTCGACAGTCTCTATCTTTCTACCAGCGCGAGTTTCTACCTTTTTGTTTTCGGCTTTTCTGTCAAGATGTGAATTCGCTTTTAGATTGAGCGCGAAATTTTGTCGGTACTTTCAACGAGACATCCTAAGTTTCCACGTAATTTAGTATCTCTTCACGGTATTCTGCCGTACTCTCGCACGGCATATATGCGCGCTGTTACAAGCGGGGATAGAAGTGGGCCCCCTTCCGCCCTCTGCTTCCCTATATCCTCATCCACTTCTCCTGTCTTGATAAACGCGTATACACTACGCGTCGCTCTGTGACACATCATGCGATAAATTCATATCAGTCCCGCACGTTAACTAGACATTTAGGTAATCCTTCTGTGCCGATGGCGGCATATAGTTAGACACGATTGTTGTCAGTCGCTATGTGTCGCCTGAGACATCGGACGATCATCCGACCTGATTGGCTGACATTTCTACAGACGCATGTAATTGGTCTTATGAGCTCGAAGGAGAAGGATACATATTGAGCAATGTTCCTATTTACCTTTGCAAGCACTTTTATTGGGTAAAAGCACTTGTAATTCTGCATAACCAATACGATATAAACTTTGCAGAAAAATGTTAGTATTCTGTCGGTAACGTTTTCAGCCTTCCCTTAAGACGACACGAAATATGATGAGAAATGACTTGCTACGGTAATTGTTCGATCTGCTTTTTCAGCGATCATTAAACAGCAGATGTGTTTTAATAACCGAGGGACTTTTTTCACTTATTTACTCCCATATATCGGTCGAAGTACTCAACTTTCGCGAAGTGAGAGATCCTTATTTTCAATTGAACTCCCGATCGATAAATCGCCTTGCGCCGACATTCCAATTATTCGTTCATTATCTATAATTAACGTCACGATCCGATATTTGTATTACTTGGACTATCGATTCGACGAAATAAAAGTATTTGCGGCAGTGGTTATCGGTGTTCGAGAAATGAAAAACGTACCGCTTGCCTTTCTCCGGCTACCTCGTCGGACGATACAGGTAACATCTGTCGGTGAAGGGTCGCGAATCGTCCGCGCGTCTTTTCCGTCCAGAGCATTTTTCCTGGGGAATCGTCTCTCGCGAGAGGAAGATCGCCCGACACGACACTCGTTTAAATTACGACCGATGGCCCTGTCGGGACACGTCGTGCAATTGTCGCGGCTATCTCCCTGCGACTAAAGTGAAAATTATTATACACCGCGGTCGCTACACCCCCGTCGTATCAGCGGCATTGCGGCCGCGCAGCCTGCGATAATGCCGGACACGTCGACGCAGCGGCTCCTTGCTGACACTTTTGTTACTCCGTGGAAATTCCGTAATTTAAGTGACCCTCGGTGGCTTTACCGCCGGTTCGTTTTCAGCTTGTACACCGCAACAAGGAACGCTACGATAAGCCCGCTTGTAATTTCAGGAATGGATTTCGCGACATCTCGAGGTACTTCCGCACTGAGAAGAAGAATTCTGTTGTTAAAACGCAAATTTGGTACGCTGGTTTACAATTAAAATGGAATCAACCAAACGTTTGACGATTGCAACAAAAGCATTTCATTGCCGCTATTTTACTTTCTCGATCATACTGGGTTGGTCCATAAGTTCGTGCGGATTTTTGTCTAGTTGACATCAATACATGTTGGTATTAGGAGAATACACTGCAAATATAAGTACGTTATTTTTAAACGCATAAATGTGTAAAAAAAGAGATTCAACCAAAATAACACATTTGAGTTTGCAGTTCCTTATGTGAAATAAATTTTTTCTCCATGTAAAAATATGTGCATTAGTAGTGAATATGTAATTAATATCCATTGAGTAAATATTTCTTATTTTTGCGATATTTCTTCTCTTAGTATTGTTCAGACGAAAGGGCGCTCGCCCTTTGAAGATGTCGTTGCGAGCTAATTTTCGTAAGCGGTTGTTCACGCCGTAATTTGTTGAACTCAGTTACTCTCCCCTTCTCTCTTATGGTATTATCTGTGTAAATTATTGGCTTTTAATTTTTATATTATATTATGTAAGGTAAGCTTCTGAAGCGTTCTCTTTCAGGGAGCCACGCGGCGCGCTTTAATACGCTCGTAGTAGTACGCGTAATTACTTATTCGTAACGCAATTAACCGCTCGAGACGTTAAATTGCGAGGACTACTAATAGCTATGTAGAGAAAAAAATTTCAGTTCGCACAACTGAATGAACAACTCGTCAACGAGAAATAATATCTGTGATCGAAAACATTCAACTGCATTAAAATTAGGTTAAGATGACTGAGAGCAATTGGCTGAGTAGAAACCTTCTGAAATAACAAAGAAAATCATAAGTGCGCTAAAAACCAAAAAAGAATTGACGATCGGAAGTCGAATTGAAAAACAATCAAGCCCGTCAATAATGTTACCTTAAAACAGAAAAAGACAGAATGCGATATAAATAAATTCAAATAAAAAATCACATGTAATCTTACCAAGTTGATTATGAATAAAGAACATTCCGTACCAGAACGTCTTCAGAGACAAATCATGTCATGTCGAGTAAGCAATTGCTGATACGCTAAGCAGTTAGATTAAATATAAAGATATAAAAATCATGACGTATCAAATATACAAAATAAGGCGAAACACAACAAATTCAAACATTGGGAAGTCTCTGAATAACAACCAAGTAAATATTGCTTAATATAATTGTGTCTTTCTTTTTATTCAAACCAGTATTTTGGCGTTTTATAAAAAAACATTGTAGAAACCGATCAGTAAGATCAATTAATAAGTCGGTAAGAGAGCAAACTACACAAGACGTGATCAAATTTTTTGTTCACAATTCAAACATTCGACTGATCCCATTTTAACGAAATTTTCTTTCCGACAAGAGAAATCTTTTTCTCAGTGTACGGGAATCTTTCTGTTCGCACAACCGAGTTTTTCATCCCCAAGTAACAGAAAATTCAGTTATACTAATGGAGTTGCCGAACTGAGATTTCTTTTCCGTATGGTATCGGAATCGCGATAGGTTTTACGATCGACCTTGGACATAAAATTCTCGAAAGAAACTTGGGGACGCGCGAATGTGTTCTTCGGCGTCGCGTTTTCAACGCGATTCGACGCGAGTCCGATGAACGAGCGAGAATTAATTTGTCCTTTTCACTTAGAATCGAATTAAGAACTTTTCTCCGAGGAAGTTAAGGACGTTCTGAGGTCCTCGTGCAAACTTTCTCAAAGTCGAAAACGTATATAGGACTATAACTGCCGTGGGGAATGAGAGCGCGAATTTCTTTAGAACTTTCGATTACCACCAATGAGATTGTGCACTTTGATGTAACCTGGTATTCAATCTGCGTGATGTGTGGAAATGTTCACGTGAAATAGGCGACAAGCTTGTTATTAATTAATTTCTCGATTAATTATCGTGTTTAATTGACGATTAATAGGAGCTTAATATGAGATGGGTAGGAATTGACGTTTCGACATTTGGTTGATCTCATTTTACCCAAATTTTAGTTCCGTCAACTAAATCCTCTTTTCAATGTACGTTATCGATATTTTTTGGAGTTTGTGATCAACTCCCTTTAATTGAATGATTCCCTTTGATTCCTTTTGTTCACATCAATCGTCGACTGAGCGGTCTTTAATTGAATTTGTTGAAATCCATCGTTAATTGAATGTTTTTTTTATTAATTCTTTGTTCGGATCAATCGCCACATTTAGTTGAATCGAAACATATTTATTCAAATCGATTATTAAGTTGAGGTAAATTTTTACGACTCTTTGCTTGCGGGCATTCCAAAAGGAAAGGAGGAGCAGCCTAGCGGTATAACAACGACAATCGCCGACCAATAAATCCGACTGCTATACACCTACGGTCAATTAATTCGTTCGCGGTCGAAAATGAGTCCGACATGTTGTCATTTCCATGGCAACAATCGAGCCGGAGAGGACATCCTGAATTATTGCGGTGCGATTAATTAATCATTCACCAACGCGCGTGTTGCGTGCGAGACGATACGAGCGTCCCTGATCGGACCGAGGGTCTCTCTAAGCGTTGTATCTCGCGAGGGTCGAGAGCGGTGTTAGAAGACGTGGAGTGATCCCTCGGGATCAGTCCCGCACAAACACAGCGCGATAGGACATGATAGTATCGGGGCTCAAGTCCAAAGTGTGTCAGTAAGGATCTCACGGGGATATCAAAGACCCCTATGTTACTTTCGATGTTTCTGGACGTTTGTAATCTATCATCGCATTATTAAGTCTACAACGATTGAAGCGCGATCACAGCTGTGGGAGTGAAGATACGGACAGTCGCGTGAAGACCCGCAGTTGGAAAGTGACGCGCAACGCGGAACAAAAAGATCTGTCATCAGTGGATGAAGAAAAATTTTGTCACCTACTTTTCTTTCTTTTTTTTCCTGAGATTGAATTCGTCATGCGCACTTCCTGTAGCTTTTTCTGAGCGTCTATCGACCTAACAATAACGAACATTAATTTTTCTGTTTCAGGTGAGTCTGGACTTTATTCGAGTTATATACTCTATCGTTAGATAGAGCTGATCATCGCACCGTAAGTCGATACTTCTATTTCACTGTTACTGTTCGCTACGTAGAGCTGAGTTTCTCGAACGTTGAGTTTCACGACTGATAAGGCGAGCTTCTCCTTATCAACGGCATCACGTCGGTACGGCAGTTTGCCGGCCAATGCGCGATACCGACGGTCACACTTTCCTCTTCGTGATGTAGTGGCCGATGGTTACGCGAGGACTGCGTGTACCCACTGAAGTTCATTCGATTGATAACCTCTCGACACGCGGAACCGAGTTTTATCTACGATAAAATTAATGAGTGCGCCGGATGTGTTGACTAAAGACGAATTGATGGTTAGCGTTGTGAATAATGAAGCGAGTTTGCTCTCTCTCTCTCCCTCCCGACGACGGGAATCTTATCGAGAGCTTCGGCCGCTAATGTTCAATCTTATAAACGTTCAACGATTCAACGCCGTCCTGCTGTTACGAGATAAAAATGTTATCGAAGCAGCTTATCGGGCTTTATCGTTCGTGGCAAGAGTGGACACTTACTTTGCCAATATTAATTTTTAATCTTCGCTATTTGCACAAAGAGTTACTTGAACTGCCGTGTAAACACAGTGGGCGATGTGCTCGACAAATATCAACTTTACACGAATTTATGAAAAATTCGGTTATAGGGATGGAAAATATTCCTGCAGAAGATTCCTACTTAGCCAATTGCTCTCAGTTAACTCAACTGAATTTTAATGCAACTGAATGTTCAGACGAATATTTCTGGTCACGGTAAAGCATATTGATCTACAATGTGCTCTTTGCTTCCTGTTTCTTGTTCTCTATCCCCTTGTTCACAACCTTGCTTTAATCTTTAAGCCATAATAAATTGACCAGTTGATTATTTTAAAAATAATGTACTGTGGTTGGTCAATTTCTTACGGCTTAAGAATTAAAGCAAGTTTGTGGACAAGGGATATCCTTTTCTGACTTATGGCATAAAACGTAAATCAATGAGAGATGAAGAAAAAGAAACAGGAAACTAAGAGCACATGATAGATTAAGTTTAAAGCCTAATCTACTATTCGCTCTTTGCTTCCTATTTCTTGTTCTCTGTCTTTTTTGGCTTAAGCCTGATCTACAATATGCTCTTTGCGTTCTGTTTCTTGTCTTCTGTCTTTTTCTGGCTTAAAGTTTAAGGTTTGTTAGAAAGAGATAAAGAGTCAAAAAGAGAGTCAGAAAGAGATAAAGAGAAAGGAGCAGGAAGCAAAGAGCATATTGTAGATCAGGCTTTAAGGTTTGAGATAGAAAGAGACAAACCCAAAAAGAAACAGAGAGCAAAGAACATATCGTAGATTAAGCTTAAAGTCTCATCTACAATATGTTTTGCAATGTGATCTGCGATATGTTTTTTACTTTCTGCTATCTTTTCTCTCTCCAACTTACATCTTATGCCATAAACTGGGAAAAGATAGAAAACAAGAAATAAGAAGAAAAGAATACATTGTAGTTTAGGTCTTAAGCTTAATCTACAATTTGTTCTTTGCTTCTTGTTTCTTGTTTTCTGTCTTTTTCTAGCTTATTCTAACTTTAGACTTAAGATTTGAGTCAAAAAGAGATAAAGAGAAAGAAACCGAAAGCAAAGAACACATTGTAGATCGAGGTTGAAGATTTGAGTCAGAAAAAGTAAAAAAGAGAGAAATAGAAAGCAAAAAGCACATTGTAGATCGCGACTCGAGAGAGATGTTATTTTTCTTCCGCTTCCTATTTAGTTACACGACTGCGTAAATTTTCTTCCCGTGTAGAATTCTGCGCCAAATATGGCTGCGAGTTCGCCTGAAGCTGCTTTGACGAACGATAATTGCAAAAATAACTACGGGCTACGTAGTTTGACCGACAGCCGAGCAACTTTTTCGTCACCTCGCGCCGAAAAGCTTGGAAAAATCGATCCAAGCTTTTGTCCGCTCACAAAGCTTCGACTCGCGCCCGGCTTGGGAGCACCGTGTGACACGAAAGAAGCTTTTGTGACGTCAGCCCCCTCCCACACCTTGCAAGCCGCCGCGATAGCCAATTGCATCGATTTCATTGTACGTGCAGCGCTCGCGGAAGCACCTCCGCTTTAATACCCGTGCATCGCTAGGACTTTGGTTGCGCACTCGCGGTTCCCACTCGACATTGAATCCTTTCGTCCTGTTCCTCTGGCGCAAGAAAGTTTCATAGAGAGCATTCTCTTCTCACTTAACATTTTTCTTTTTTTATTCTTTTCTCTAATGTTACACAAAATATCTACCTAAGTTACGGGGCTGAGGTATATATTCTTTATCGATAAGAGCCGACTCGGGGTTTCGCTTGCTACAATGCAATGTACATATCGTTGACTTTCGATGCAACTTTGTCAAAAAGTTTTATGGAATATTACTCGATACGAAAGCACGAGGTAATGTCACGCGATGGAAAAATCGTAACGAATCAACAATTGCTCAAATGAGGAGGTTTGAGACTTTAAATCGCAACATATCGCTAATTCGCAATTATACGAAAATGAACCAGATTGTCGACGGGCGCAACGAAATGATGACTGCGTGGGGAGCTGTGTACGGTAAAAAAATATAAATTTATTTGGTAGCGTATACGACACGACTCATATTGTGTACGTTCAACCCGCGAAACACATTCGAGAAGCGCCCATTAGCGAAGCGTCCGATCGAATTGTCGGAAGATGTTCACCATTTCTTGATCGTCGGTGTTGGGTATACGTATCCGCTGTCGATGGACGCGCCGTGAGACAGCAGACCGGTGGATCCATAACCCACGCTGGACACGAGGCCGGTGGAGCCTAAAGTAGATCCTACGTGTTCCACGCCGGACAGCAGGCCGGTTGAACCCAAAGTAGATCCCACATGCTCCACGCCGGACACTAGACCAGCCGATCCGAAGCTGGAACCTACGTGATGTACGCCGTCGCTGAAGTCAGAGACGATACCGCTACTGACGCCGCTGGATCCGAGATCGACGTATTCATGACCAGATGAGATGCTGCCGATGGCTGGCACGGAAGACACGGCGACCGACGGCACGGACGATACGGCGACTGATGGCACGGAGATCGGCACATGCTTCGTCACGGACACCGGGACGGCGACAGGCTGTGGCACTGGGAATGGTACAGGTTGCGGTACGCGGATCTCAACGGGTTGCGGTACCGGCACGGGGTAAGGACGGTCGACCTTTACGGGTACATGGCGGGTGACGGGAACGGGCACCGGCTGTGGCACCGGCACGGCGTAGGGACGATCAACTTTGACGGGCACGGGCTGTGGGACGGGCACGTGCTTGGTCACTTGAACTGGGACGGGCTGCGGCACCGGGACCGGCACTTGGACCTCGCGGTGAACGGTGACGCCGGTGATGCGTTCGGTCTTGGCGTGCGCCAGGCTGCCGCTGTGCAGACTATGGCCGGTGACAATTCCGGAGCCTCCGATAGCGTAGCCGCTTCCGATGCCGTAGCCGCTTCCGATGCCGTAGCCGCTTCCGATGCCGTAGCCGCTTCCGATGCCATAGCCGCTTCCGATGCCGTAGCCGTTTCCGATGCCGTAGCCGCTTCCGATGCTATAGCCATTTCCGATGCCATAGCCGCTTCCGCTGCCATAGCCCAATCCGGAGGTATACGTGTGGCCGAGTCCGCTACCATAGGAGCCGTAGGTGAGACCCAGCTTGGTGCCGAGGCCGGTCCCGTATCCTGCGGCGTATCCCGACAGACCTATGCCATTCGTGTAGCTAGAGAGACCGGCGTCACCCAGCAGCAGGCTCCGCTTGTCCTTCGGATTGGACTTATCCTCTTTGGGAGCCGCCAGTACGGCTGTCGCCAGCAGAACAATCTACGCAGTCGGGAAAAGTAGAAACTCATTAGCATGTCACAATAAGCAGAGTAATTAGATTATTCGAGTTTGCGACCAGTCGAGTTCTCCACGTCGCTTGAGCAAACTTGGACGTGTTATTAAGAAGAGCTTCCCATTAAATGGAGAGATGGATGGATTTCAGCCTGCCGCGAAATCAAATCTTTTTTGCGCGCTGCATTAACTTTATCAATAAGTGGTTAGTGGTCAGAGATACCTCTGACAGATAGCCCACGAATAATTATTCACGAATAAAATTTATTTGATATCTCTATTGTGGCTCTTTTACACGTCAGCGTATGTATTTTTGCTCGTGAACGCGACGAACAAAGTGCTGATTATGTAATTTTTTCCTGAGAGCGAAAACGTAAAAAATGAGAAGTCTCACGTGAACTCGATAATTTTGGTAGTTATGCAACTTGAACAATAAAAATGTGAGAATTTTCGTGTGAAAAGAACCTTTCCACGTGTTCATGCTACACTGACAACAAGAAGTGGTTGAGTTAATGAGACTTTGCTTGAAAGAAGAAAGAACGAAGAAAATTCGTTCAAGCAGACGTTTGATCGATTGAACGACTATATAATTGTTGCAATGTGTTGTGTGTTAATCGATTATTTGGTCAGTGATTATATCAACTTAACTTATCGTTACATTAATGCGTAATTTCTCCGACAGATACAATTCTTGTTTGAAAGTGGCTGATCGCCAATTTTGTCGATCAAATTGCTTTTTCTTCTCATCGTAGGGGAAAAGATACATGACTGATATCCTGGATAGCTTCATTCAAGATGAAGCGACGCGATAGAACGGTAATAGCACACTGAAGGGAAAAGTTTGGCAGAATACCAGTAGCCGCAGCAAATGGTTTGTTGATATGGGACGGCGAATGATACCGTAGTGGGGACAAAGGATTTCTTGCTTTCAATTTGCTGTTCCAAACAGAACTTCTGTAATGGAGACACAACTGACCCAATCTAAATAGACGCGAACAAATAAAATTTGTATCTTATAGGCAATAAATATGTGTTTGTCAAGATGATAAACGATGAGAAGTGGTGACTTGCAACGATAAAGCAAAAGTATCAATTCCCGGTACCTAATCCTGGATATTTTCATTGTTTTGGTCTTCGAATACGAATATTTAAACTTTTAAAACATGGAATATATATATATATATATATATATATATATATATATATGTGTGTGTGTGTGTGTGTGTGTGTGTATTTTCTGTTAAAAGTTTATTTATATTTAAATACTAAAACAACAATAATGTCCAAGACCGAATACATGTCCGAGCATTGGTGTGCTTTTACCCTAACTACTCGATGTATTTCCCTAACGATCATCAAACAGCAAACGTGCTTTTGTTCTGCCGAGGAATTTTTCTCAATGAAGGTACCAAAGGGGCAAGTCTTAACCGATCTTAAGTCTTCTTTGTTTTCAAAGAACTTCTGCACTAGTGTATGCCAGTTAGAGTGAGAGGGAGTGCGCTGATTTCACTCTAACTTATTACACCAGTGCGGAAGTTGGTCGAGAACGAAGAGAGACCTCTTGCAACCGAGCGACAGTGTGATACCCGGCGACACTTACCGCGAAGCTCCTCATGATTGGCCTTGTCTCGTGGTAGTTTCGGATCGAATGTGCTATCGGACCGGCCGGCCGGCGTTTTTATACGCAATGTCCAGTTCGCGATTACTTTCACTGAAACGGCGAAGAACACGCCCTGCTCCGCGATCCGGCCGATTATTCTGCTGCAGTCGGATGATCAGTCGGTTGGTCGGTCGGTCGGTCGGTCGGTCGGTCGGTCGGTCGGTCGGTCGGTGGTTGGTCCATCCGATCCTCTCGTGACGTAACAGCAAAAGTCGTCGCCTTGCTCCCGAAACGGGTCCGATTCCGCATTATTACGCCGTTACGTGTGTAATTGTCTACACGGGTCGCGGCGGTCTCCTCGTCGTTTCTTTTTGCAAAGGGCCAACTTTTACTTGGCCGGCGCGAGACTTCGCGGTCGGCCACAGAGCCGCGGCCCGACGATCGATCTGCGCGATAACTCGCATCGTTAAGACGAGTAAAGGGGAAGCGGACGATATTTTTTTCTGATCGCACGGTAATTACGTAATGCCGCGTGGCCGCAAAGATTTCTGCTGCCGCGCCGTGGAGCAACATGGGTATCTGTCTTCACCGGGAAGTCCCGGGCGCGGGACGCATTATTGCGCGAACTCGAGGTGCTCGCAGACGTGAGACAGACGTCTTTATTCATTACTTCATGTACTGCTTGCAGACAGCTCGGAACGTTGTATACAATTGCGTAACGTCCGCCTAAGAGTCGTGATTGAACGGTCAGACGACTCAATCCGAGCTAGTCGATTGGACGCAAGGTCTGATCTTTGCGGAAGGATCCTTGCTGAAAATCGTTCGAGTCGACGTTGTCACGTGTGTGTGAATGGAAAAGTGTCTGAAAAAGTGCTTGGTCCGAATGCAGAGGTTGCGCGAATTTGGTCAAACTTTTATTATCGTATCTCAGAGCTTTCCTTTATTAGTTTGAGTGCGACAGCATAGAGAGCGATCTGTGTGTCGATTAGTCCCATTCTACAATGTTTTAAGCCCTGAGCCTTATACTTTAGAGAGATTACGTTGGTTCTAAACTTCAAGTTCTAAGCTTTAAAAGATAGGAGTTGGCCAACTCGCTTAAGAGACTTAGAGATTAGGACTTGTGGCAGCGCGAAAAACGCTTAAGGCCGGAAATATATCACAATTTAAAGTTTAAAGGCTTAGAACTTAAAACACACTATTAAAACACCTATTGTAGAATAGAACTTAGTCTTCGTTTAATAGTACGCCAAAGCGATAGCTTCTGCGTTTGGTCATATCAGCAAAGTCTGAAAGTCAGTTTCATCGATTCTCGTATCTTCTGACATGACTTTGCTGTAATCTGAAGGATTCTCAACACCGTTGATGAGACTTGGGTCTACCACTTTATCCCAAAAGCAAGAGAACCGTCACAACAATGAACACACTCGCGGCGTTCACTCTGGGACACTGTGTTTACCAAAGATTAATCGACAGATCGCTCTATAATGTCATACATAATCTAATGAAGTAAGACTCCATAACACGGTAATAAAGGTCTAGTCAAACTTGCGATGTCTTCTAGTATTAGGCAATATACCCTTCTTGTATGGCCCTCGTACATATATTTCGGCAGCTCGCTGTTTCTATGTGGCAACTCAGGTGCGATTAGCATATCATCAGCGCTTCTTCCTATCAGACGCATACCTCCGCCAAAAAATTGCCATTTACATATGTTGTGATCACACGTACAAATCCGGCATGTTATCCATTTTAATAGCGATCATTCGATTGGCTCGTGTCTGGCGGAATATAAATTACTTAATTCCTGCAATTAAAACAGAAACTCGAGGGCACCGCGTCGACTCGCCCCTCCTCCCTCTCCCTCCCCCTCTCTCCTCATGTCGTACTAATATGAACGACACCGTGTTTCGCGAGCATTCATCACTCGCCATCGACAACATCCTTCACGACCACCACCACCACCATCGAAAATATCGTTATATAACTCCCCAGCATAGGCGGGGAAAAAGATCGAACTTCCCTGCGTAATGGAGAAAAGATACCAGCGACGCTAGATTTCATTCTTTATTTATTTATTTATCTTTTTCTATCATAATTTTAGAGTTAACAGTCGCTCGCATTCGCGAGTCGTTTAATTTTCGGCGAAAAACTGAGAAGTGATGTGATTCATTGCCACTTATACTATTTATATATATACTTTATTTATTACTATTTTGCAGATTCGTCGCGAAACATGTTTCTCGAAGTCATTCGCGCTAGCAAATGTTCATTGCGTCGCGGTCACGATTCGACGCGAACGGCGCGCGCGTTTCGCTCTCGTAACGCCTCGTAAATTTCCTCCACCCGCCCTCCGTTCCACTCCTCCTCCATCTCCTCCCGTGTCGCGAAATAATTCGCGACGAAGTTTCATAACTCGCAGCGGGTTTTCATCCTCGAGGATATCACCGCGACGTGCGTGAAGACGCTCCACCGATCGCTGCATCGAATTTCGTATAGGTGCTTCACGATCGCGAAGATGCGTTTTATCTGAAGCACGGAGGTTCGCAACGCGACTGTGCGTCACATAATGTGAGATTTTGTGATGTTATTCCTGGCCGACATTGTAGAGCATGTTTTAAACGAAAATTCGCAACATTTCAATTAAAATAGATGAGTTTATTTGTTGTCTATAAGCTTCTGTGGTAAAAATCCTACATCCATAATTCTACAATTTGACATTGTTAGGTAAAGAGGGCGATCGTTTGACTTTGGGACTCTCGACAAAATATAAGGAACTTTTTTGACGATTAAAGCTTACGTCGATTCCGGATATGTAACTCTCTGATCTGAGCCTCTTATCGTTCTCGAGAAGAATGATTTGTATAAATTCCAATTTCAACAGATTTTTACAAGATCGATAGGTATTGAGTAAAATTTTCCTCAAAAAGAACATTTTGGATTGCGACCTAAGTAAAGATATACAATATACTAAATAAAGACTCCAGCAAAATTTGGTTTATCCAGGTTTTGCTCAGACGCTGCATGTCGTGCAGCTTGCCACGCTGCGCGAGACGACACGAGACGGAAATATTTGGTGCTCGCGTGTTTTGCTCGTGCGCGGAATTCCGCAGCGGGAGACAATTAAGACTCTCGAGAGCTGTCCGACGAAATTACACCGGTTTCTTCTCGTTTCTTCTCTATTTTCTATTTATTTATTTTTTCTTTCTCTCTTTCTTTCTCTGTCTTGTTCGAGACTGCGTACAGACGACGAACCGGAAAATGTCTATTTAGGGATCGTTCACCGACGTCATCGAGATGGAATACCGGTTCATCGCGTCGGCAACGGGCTTGTCTCGATTCGCCGAAAGCGAAACGTGTCTGTCGACAACTGCCTCCGAGTATAGGCAGTTGACGCGGGCACAACTCAGTAGATGAATTTTCGTTCTCGATTATTAAAACTCTTATAATGCCCCGAACGGCATACTAATGAGTCCTCCCTGCTAAGCCCACGCCTCCATCTACATATGAAGCGTGCGTGGCAGTTTTAGCAAAGAATTAATCAGCGCATCATTTGTATTGCAAATCGGCCGACCAGGATGCGGCTAACGCTCGTGAAATTTTATTCCGCGATTTTCGTGCATCTCGCACATGCATATATACATGTTCTCTGGTCTTCACCGTGAGCTCCACCTGCGGACACGCTTCTGCGCGGAGACGCGAGGAAGAAGAGGGAAAATTACTAGGAAAAACGCCAGGACGATAAAAGGGGCGCGCCGTTCCCCTCTCAGGCGACCCACCCTCTGATTTCCTGCGGGAATCCAGGCGAGTTTTACGACGCCGATCGTTGACGGCTCAATCGATCTCGTCCGTTTAGTGGAGATCACCGACTCCCATTCCATCCCCTTGTTATCTGAGCGCTCGTTATCTGAAAGTATCCGGAAGCATCCGCGATGCTTTCGATCGAGCAACTTCCGGCAGCTCATTCCGGCGGGAATTATATTCCCAGCGCGAAGCGTCGTCTCGGACAATATTATTTCGATTTATTAGTGCTGATTAGTGATAGAATTTTACACCGAGAAAAATTATCAGATAAAAAATTAGCAAACGGATATTTCCGATTAAAATACCAATGAATTTTAATATCCGATCAGGATATTCGATTAAATCGGATACTTCTGATACTTTTGATCATAACGGCATTTCATCAGATAAACTGATCAATAAATTATGAACTGGTATTTCTTATCGGATGTTTCCCGATCGGATACAAAAATTCACCGGTATTTTGATCGGAAATATCCGTTTGTTAATTTCTTATCGAATAATTTCTCTCAGTGTATTACTATTGTAACGAAAATTGCAGTACGAATGTAGCAACCCCGGTAGAAATTTCATGCAGGTTTTGAACAATTATATTAACTTTTGTCTATATTAACTGACGAGCAAAACGATTAGGATCCCAATTAAGATATAACGTTTTCAGTTATTGCGCACAAAAACACGCAAAATCCGAAACATTTACTGAACGAAAACTGGACAATAAATAGACAGCTAACTAAACAAACTAAAAAAACTGTCCAATCAATTAATATTAAAAAAGTAATTTTATTACTCATGAAATGGACAGTTTTACCCTGAAACTGAAATGGACAAAAGTCTATTTCCTGCACAGATTTGATACAATTAATCAGAATGCAGTAATACGAGACAGTGGTTGAACGCTTAGGAAAACTGCGTAGATTTTTACTACGGAAGTCAATTCAGATATAATTCATTGATATTTATTTGTACTTGGAACTTTTAAAGATATGTCCATAGCCTGTTTTAAAGTGTAAAACGTTACAATACTTATGCAGTATTCATAGATTATAATACTTGTACAATATTCATGGATTCGGAACTTGGCGCTACTTATCGTTGGCTTTCTCACTACAAGCGCCCAGCAGATGACGCGTGTTATTTTATCTTGTCATTCTTTTTAGTCGAATCCACGACACATAAAGTCAAAAACAGGCTACAACGAGTGTTGCATGCTACGTTCAAATCGGTCACGATAATGAAATACATGCTCTTGTAAGCCGGGAGGGTACGTTTCGTTGACCAATCTCCATTTACATAATGACGCTCGGACATTAGCGAAAGCCTACCGAACGATATTATGCAATAATATATTGTTAAATTTACGG